GGAAAAAAAAAAAAAAAAAAAAAAAAGTCACTCCTGAACCCTCAGGAGGAGGCATACAGCAGAGGTGTGTTTCTTTGTTGGGCCCATCAGGGGAGCCACCCCAGGGACAGAGAAAAAAAACCTAGAAAGTCATGCAAGATACAGCAAGTCCAGCTCTGGCTTTGTGGCCTGTGCTGAGGAGGGGACCAGCTGGTGGGCGGGCTGGTTTATCAAAACTGTGGACAAGACCCCTGGGGAAATCAAGATGAAAGGCAGTGGTCCTGTGAGGAGGCCCGCCCTGCCTATCAATCAGAGGAGTTGGGACTAGAAAAGAGGAAGGCTGAGAGAGAAACCCACACCTAGTAAGTGGGCCCAAGGAAGGTCCTGCCTTCTGTCTCTGTGGAGCTGGAACAGCCCACAACAGCATTTGAACAAGACTCACAACCTAAATGCCGGGCTTTGGTTTTGGAAAATTATTCACTGAAGCTGTAGAGCCAGCTGGCAGAAGCCCTCACGCCAGACACTGTGTAAAGGACCAGGAGGTCACAGCAGGTACATCAGTGGTCTTCGCCTGGTGGGCACTGGATGTGGGAGCCTCCTTGCTTGATCATGTGCTGGCCTGTCAGCCTGTCTGCCAACCCAGGATAGAGGGAACAAGTGGGTCTCAGGCAGTGTAGGAACTGGGCAACTAAAGAGGTCAAATGACCCACAGGGAAGTGGGGAGTGGGGAGTGGGGAACCCTGCCTGCCCCATCCTCCCCCAACACAGCTGCCCAGTGCAGGGGGTGTCCTTGGCATTCCACCTGCTCCACCCAGTACTCGGGCTGTCTGAGCTCAATGACAATGTCAGAGAAAACCCAAAGCAGACTGAGCTCCTGTTCCCCTTAATGAGGTTCATTATCAGCTGCTCTGATCCTTGTAAAACCCAGAAGGCTGGATTAGGGGCAAACTCCCTAATCCCTGTGGACGCCTCTCTGAGCAGCTGACCAGGCCTCTGACAAACAAGCCTGCCCTCCCGGAGGAAGAGCTGCAGAAGGGAGCTCCCAGGGAGGAAGGGAGGGCAGGAGGTGGCAGTGCGGGAGAGCCCTGAGGCCAGTCCCAGAGCATACGGAGCCTGCAAGTGCTGGGGCAGAGTACTCTGTGGGCAGTGAGGAGGGCACCTCTTTTCCAATGCCCAGAAGAGAAGTGTGTGCTGGCTGGGGACCAGGTGAGGCTGGATGCTGTGCATTCTGTCCAGACCCAGATACTCAGTGTCCTAGGAGCAAGTTAAAGAACACACAGGTGCTTGCCTTAAAAAAAGTAATTTATTCCACACCCCTCCCAAGTGGTGGGGTAGAGTGGGAATCAAGCACATGTACAGCATCATCCTCCCCTTTGACCCTATGAACGTCTACCAATTAGAAGGTGGAATCATGGGAGGACATTGACCCCAACCCAGGGCCCTCCGTATCCAAAGGTTATCAGTGACTTTGGAGACTAAAATGAAGACAAAAGACTTAGCTCAGAAAGGGGTACAGCCTAATGAGAAGCCAAGGCACATCCTTCTCTCCTCTCTTCACTAAGCCCTCAGCGAAGGCACTGTAGGTCCCAGCATCCTTCCCCATACCTGCTCCCCCCACATCAGCATGCAGCAAGCAAGCCATGCACCCCACAGCCCAGCAATTACTACCTGCCCTGCTGGACAAGTCCGCAACTGCCCCAACCTATATTCTTCTTGCAGCAAAAACCCTGGTGCAGGAGACCACATGATTTCCAGAAATCCGCCCACACCCTGAAGCCAAACCCTAGAGAGATCTGAGGAGCTGAAGGCTGGGAAAACCAGAGAGGGTCACAGGTGGCCCTTCCTTTTCAGGTGCAAAGGCCTCTTCGTGTCCAGATGTAAGAGGAGTGGACGGTGACACAGCTTTGCAACTGGGCTGGCTCGCCCCAATTTAGGGCTAAGACCAAGCAGGAGAGATTGAGGCTTCATCGAGAATGGGGCAGGGCTTCAAAAAGCTGAAAAACAGGAATTTGGTGCTGAGAGGCCAGGGCCTGTGCCTTCCTAAACCCTCTGCTCAAAGCTGCCCTCCCTTGATGGTCAGATGCACATGGACCCTGGTCCTGTCTCTCTTGTCTGTGTAACTCTCCTTCCCAGCAGACGGGGTTCGCAGGAGCAACTGGCTTTCCTGGGCTTCCCCCGCTCCTGGGCTGGGCAAGGGGAGGCAGGGAAGTCAAGGGAGCAGAGGACACTCATGGATGCCAGCTCCCTTCCCTGCCCCACTACAAACTGGAAGGTTCAGGCTGCAAGGTGAATAGCATGGCCCTTCAGGACCTTCATTCTAGCCCGGAAGTAGGTATACATAGCCAGCAAGCCCATGAAGGACAGGGAGTAGAGCCCCACACAGAGGCTGATGTCCAGGTGGGAAAAGTCCCTCCCCAGCACCTGCAACCACTGGCCTTGGACCCGCACAGCTTGGGCTTCTCGCTCCCTCTCAGGGATGCTGGCCAGCTGTTTGGAGCTATGGATTCCTTTCCTCAGTTCTGAAGGGCCATGGAGGTGGTTCTCCTCCGCCCAGGACTCAGCCAGCAGCACAGCCCCTGTGTCCCGCTTACTCAAGTGTCGCTGCCCCTGAGGCTGCACGAGCACAGCCCTCTGGGGCTCTGTTATGTGATCAGGAAGCCCCTGCCTGGGCACAGGTCCACTCAGCTGGAGGCCAGTGTGCAGCAGCTGGGGGCCACTTGCCTCAGGTCTCTCAGCTGGAATATCTGGCATGGAGGTGTTTCCAGGGGGCTCTGTGCTATCAGCCTTCTCAGGGCCTAGTGTTGAGTTTCTGGTTACCGGCCCCAGAGCTCCTACCCCTGGGTTCGGGGCAGCTGCCAAACTGTGTGCACTGCTCCTGGGGGCTGGTCCAGGTGGAGGGGAGTGCAGGACGATGTTTCCTGGGGAGAAGTGGGCCTTGAGGAAGCGGAGAGTGGCGCCCACATCCCATACAGGCTCCCCACTGAGTTCATTGTGGCAGGCAGAGCAGAGTTCATGGGGTGGCCACTGAACCTTGGGGAACTGTGGGTCCTCACTGGGAGCGCCTGAGGAGAGAAGCACACAGGTAGTGACACTCCAGCCACCTAAGGGCTCAAATCTCACTCCTCCACTCAGAGTATTCTTCGCCTGCAGAAAGGATGCACAGGCCTTCCCGAGGAGGGAGATGAGATAAACATGAAGAACCTTTGTGGAGCCTGGCTCTACCCGAGAAGGGTTCCATTCACCCCGCCCCAGCACCGGCAGCTCCAGCCACTTCCTAGTGGCAACCAGGCCCACTGTCCTCTTTCGTTGGATTTGTTGCCAGTTTGTATCCCAGATCAGAAACAGAAAGGGCAAGAAGACTCAGAACAACCTGTTTGATACTCTTTGGTTGGTATTTAGTGTTTTCAGTTGTATGTATTTGTCTGAATATTATAGTGATGCTGTATTACTTTAGCTGATTAAAGGGAAGGGTTTTTCGTTGTTTTGTTTTTTAACAAAACCACAGGTGCTCCTGTCCATAGATGGCTCCTCCCCACCCACCTTCCTGGGAGCCCAGTGCTTTTGCCCGGAGGACCCACCAGACACCTGTGTGTGGGGAAAGGAAATTGCTGAAAGCACTATAAATGAGGAAAACTCAAAACTGTACGGCTGCCCCTTACAGAAGCAGTCCCTGGTACTTCTAGACCAGTGACAGTGAACCTTTCAGAGCTTTCAATGATAACAAACAGCCCACTGTGGCGCGCACGCTGTCAGTTTGCCATCACTGTTTTAGACCCTGGGTCTTCTCCAGCTCTATTATGAGATCCTTCCGTGTGAGCAAAAAAACCCTACCTCTCTTTCCTGTTGGTTTCAATAAGGACTCAAAAGCCAGTAAGCAGAGTTGGGGTGGCAGGAGAGACCCCAACATGCCAGAAAGAGGGGCTCTGGTGCAGGGAAAAAGGAGCAACGGCATCAGAAGACTAGGGTCTTACAGAGTCATCACCTTGGTTCCCTCACCTGATGGGCCTCATGCCACTGATTACCAGGCCTGGCAGAAGATGAGCTATGAAGGACGAGGTGTTGCTAAGGGAAGAGTGAATGTCCCCCAAGTTTGGCCCAAGACCCCAAAGTGTCCTCTCCCCTCACAGGTGACTGCAGCCTTGAAGGTGGCCCTTCCTTACCTGCGAGGCGGGCATTGACCCTGTTGTGGCTCGTCCACAACCAGAGAACTGCATCATCTGGGCTTCTCACCCGGTGCATGGAACCAGAAGCCATCTGTTCAAAATGGTTAGCACAGTCTCGGCAGCCAAAGAAGAAGCGAACATAGCTCCGGATGGCTTGGAGGACCTCCTGGCCATTGCCTACAGGGGAGAGGAGGAGCCATGCATAGGGACCTTCAGGCTGCCTGCCCCTAACCAGCCACCCTGTTCTTCCACAGGCCGCCTTGTCCTCCCCAGCTCTGCTGTGCTCACCCTTGCACAGGCGCTTCGCACCCAGCCTATGCGATGAGGGACCCAGGGTCTCCATGTCCGCTTCTCCCCTTCCAGGGGCCACTTTATTTTCTGAGACAGGGTCTCACTATGTAGTTCACGCTGGCCTTGAATTTGCAGTGATCCCCCTGCCTCAGCCTCCTAACGCTGGGATTACAGGTGTGTGCTATCACACTCGGCCAGGAGCTAGAGACAACGCTATCTCCTCCAAAACTTCCTGGACCCTAGTTCTCCTCTCTTGCCACCCATCCAGGTTCTCATCGTTCGTATTCTTTAGCAGGACACTCGGGCTCTTGGTGACTTGGCTGGAGAGTCAGCAGCCAGCAGGGTGCTTCCACCTCAACCCCACGCTCCTTCCCCGGCCAGCCTCACACTTCCTGTTCTGACTTGCTCTCCCATTTCCCTTGCCTCAGGAATCCATTCTGCTCTGACTTGCACACACCCTAATTCATCTCTACCCACCCTCACTCTGCTCAGTTCCTTTTCACTGGACACTCTGGGTGACTGGCATCAGATCCCAGAGTTCTCTGTTAACTCCTCCACCTTCTTGCTCCTCTTCAAGTTGTCTTTCCTCTTCCCAATACACTTTTCTCACGCCCTTTTTCCTCTGTACTCCATACACCTTCCTACTGCACAACGCCCCCACTCCCAGTCCTTTAAAAGGCTCTCTCCCGTCCAGCCCTCAATCCAGCAGAACCTCCTCACGCCTCTCTCCATAGCTCTTACCACCTATCCGTGTCATCATTCCTGGCAACGTCAGAGCCCGCACCAGTCTTCACTTCCCCTATTTTCTCCTCCTTCAGGACTTTGTTCCTGCAAACATTTTCTTTCCTGCATCACTAATTTCTCCCTTAATATGGGATCATTCCAACTGGTGAAAACAATTACAATAACAAAATCTCTTCTCTGACCTAGTTATTCCCTGCTTCTGCCCATTTTCTGCAGTATTTTGCCTTCCAGTCTCTTTCCAGCTTGATCCAACCAGGCCATCATCTGCCCTCCCCTCAAACAATAAACCGGTTCTTGCCAGAGATGCCCTCATCTTGCACCACCTCCAGCAGCACGCACACGGCTGACTGTACCCTCCCTGAAACCGCAATGGCTGCCTCTTCTCAGGCTCATTCACTGGCTGTAGCTCCAAGCAGCAGTCTAACTACTACAGGGCCTGGCCACTCCCTCCATCAGCACATCCACAGCTCCAGTCCAGTCCATGGCTCCCAGGCTATTTTTATGGCTACTTAGTTGGCTGCCCTGCCTCCCCATCTCCCCACCTCTACCAAACAACCTTTCTGAAGCATTACTCATTTGTGCCAATCCCCTGTGAAAGTTTTTCTTATAAACTAAGGGCTGGAAACCCCTCCCCACTTAGAAAGGCCCCAAGCCCACATGCGCATCCGACTCCCTGGCCCTAGCCATAAAGGCCACCTTTTGATACTATAAAATGATGCCAGTCTTTTCTGCACCTGCTGGTCCATGGCCTGTTTTATGGGCTGAATTTGTTCCCTCCAAGTTCATATGTCTATGTCCTAACCCCCAGTACCTCACAGTGTGGCTATACTTGGAGACAGGGTCTTTTTTTTTGAGACAAGCCTCACTTTGGAGTTCAGGCTGGTGTTGAATTGACCAGGCAGCCTAGGCTTGCTTTAAACTTGCTGTGAGATCTCCTGCCTCAGCATCCCTAGGGCTGGGATTACAGGCATGGCCACCAAACCCTGCCTGAGTCTTTTTAAGGTGAAATGCGGTCATTAGAGTAAGTCTTAATCCAGTATGACCAGGGTCTTCACAAGGAAATTTGGATACAGACAGGGAAAGGGGAGACAATGTGAAGACACAAGAAGGAAGTGGCCATGTACCAACCAAGGAGAAAGGCCTCAGATGAAACCAACCATACCGTATCTCAGTTGTGGACTTCAGTCTCCAGAACTATGAGACAATCAATATTCGTTGCCTGTGCCCTCAACCTATGGAATCCATTATGGCCACCTGAGTGGCTATGACATTCTGGAATTTTCTTTCCAAATGCCCCATGTCTGCTTCCTTCTTTTCATGAGTCTCAACACAGGGACACCGCCTCAGAGTAGCCCCCCCCAGTTGCACTATTTGAACACTGTGCCTCTTCCCACAACACTCTGCTCTGCTCCTCATAGCATTCATCACTATACCCAAAGGGTTCTATTTGTGTTTACTACCTGTCTCCTGGCACTGGAATACTGACCCCTAGCGGCCTCACCAGCTACTGTATACCCACCTCCAATAGCACCTGGTACTGTGGAGATTCTCTGTAAGTACAGTACTGACAGACTGACCAGCTTCGCATTGTCAGCAGTCCTGCTGGTTCCCTGTGCCTCTTGCAGGCTGTTCCCAGTGTTTAGGAGCACTTCCTTCCAAGCTGAACTCCTTTCTACCCATCAGCTCTCATCTTGGTTCCCTGAGAAGTCTCTTGCCCTCCCCAGCAGCACTGAGCCCATCCCATTTAACCTACACATCCTTCTTTCCCTTGGCTCTTGGCCCTAGCACACTGCAGGGAACTCTGTCCACCCTGCCACATACCAGACAGTCCACTGAGAGCAGGAACCGTCTCTTTTACATCTTCATATCATGTCAGCTGAGTTAGGGTCTGATATAAACCTGTTCCTCAACAGATGTGTATGAACTGAATGCCCAGCTGTTCAATGTTAAAAGCCAGGGAGCAGCCTCATGCCCCAGAGTGTCAGGCCCAGAGGCAGGGGACAGGGCTGGGTGACTTCTCAAAGTGTTCTGCATGCTGAGACGTTCTGTGCTTGTTGTGTCCAGCTGCTCATTCAAAGATCCTGCTGTGGCCCCCAGACTGATACTGACCCACCCTTCTGTGATGGGCAGGAAAGGGCAGAGTTGGTGGCACAGTGCGGTGACAGATCCTGGACTTACCCAGCTCTCGTGATGCACTTTGCTGACTTGCCTGCACAGTCAGGAAGTGGAAGAGGACCCACAGGGAGCAGGGAAAGCCCCGGAAATGTGGCTCACTCCCCTGGCAGCCAATCCAGTTCACCTTCTTGGTAAGGACAGCATCCTAAGGGACACATATGAGTGTGAGTTCGTAGTGCAGAAAAAAAGGCTGGCAAGGGGAAGTGAAAAGAGAAGCTTCTAGGATAGTCAAAGGACAGCACATATCCTGTGACAAATGAGGTCCCTCTCTGTCACCTCAAAGGGGACACTTTCCTTCCACCTGTTCCACCCAAGGATCACCACATCTGAAAACCCATGGTATGGATCAAGTTATACACTTACTCTAACCTCAACAACTCCATCTATGAAACAAGGGGGATAATCTTCAAGCTTCGATATCCCACAAGTCTGTAGGTTTTGCACACGTGCCGGCTGCAGTGGGCCACTTCCACAAAGAGCAGCACGAGCAGCAGCCAAGGTGCAGCTGAGTGTAGTTAAAAACCCTGGTGTGTCACTATTATTTGCTCACAGTGCTGTGGGGGCGGGGGGGTGAACTTAGAGGAGTCTGTTTATCCTAGGCAAGTGCTCCATCCCTGAGCTATACCCTGCTCCTTCCTTCTCAGTGGTTTTAATCACAGCCCAGCCACTTACTAGCACTACAGGACCTCAGACAAATGATTTCATCTCTTAACTTCTGTTTCCTTTGTTTTTGGTACCAGGGATCAACTCAGGACCTTACGCTTGTGAGGTAACTTCTGTTTCTTTGTCCACTAAATGGGGATATCTACTTTCTACTAATTTATGAGGATTAAATGAGTTATGCATGAGGAACTCAATAAATAGCAGTTTATTAATGGAAGGATCCAAGTCAAGACTGCTGACACCTTCCTGAATACAAACTGGTGAAGGAGACTGAAGATTACAACATTAACCCCTTTTCCATTCCCATAAATATCAAGGATATTTGAGATCTTCATTTGCCTTCCAGACTCACCTCCTTCCTGTTGTCCAGGGCAGTTTTAAAGAAACTGTAAGGAATTTTCTTCCTCTGCTGCCTCTTAAGCCAGTCATTTATGGAGTACAGAAAGTTCTGGACAAAGGGCTGGCCAGGAAAGTACTATGGAGGGAAAAAAGAACACGTTGGAGAGTGAAAAGCAATTCTGTCAGTTTTACTATCTTCAGAGGGTAAGGGGCCATGAAGAAGTGGGACAAAAAAGGTTCTCCAGAATGTTCCAAAACCACCATGAAAATATTCTACCTAAAGCACAAACATAGCTTCCCTACTACCTTTCCTCTGGGGCATCCTGGTAAACTACAGAAAGGGGTATGGCAGGGGAGACTCTAAGCAGGGCTGGGCCCTGATGGTCTTTCCCTCAATGCTCAGACTCTCACCCTGACCCCTGTGACTCATCCCACAACTGGGAGGAAGGTCTGATCTCTGTGCAACTTCCCAGGGCTTCTGAGAACGCTCTTCACATATCCTCTCTTCAGGTGGCCTCCTGGTGGAGCAGCAGACTGACTGGCTGGGCTAAGCCAGTAAAAGACCTTTCATTTGTATTCCATAGGCTACTAGGTAGGACAGACCAGCCCAGGGGCTTACAGCCAAGGTCCAAATCCTGATGGCAACTCCCAGTAGTCTCTGAGGAACATGAAAAGCTACTTTGACAATAAAGTCAACTCAAATTTGATTAGTATCAGCACTTTGAAACCACAAGGACCCCAGGGAGGAGGATATGTCTGTGCATATGTGTGCATGGGGGTGGGGGCAGGCAGAAAGAGGAATGCAGCAGCAGAACAGGTCAGATGAAACCAGGAAGAAGCAGATACAGAGGACAATGGCTCTGAGAAACTAACTTGTGGAGAAAAAAATTCAAGAGGAGGATCCTGGAGATAGGACTAATTAAACAAACAAACAAACAAACAAACCCTGCTACTAATCCATTCCTGAGAAAGCCATGAAATACTCCTACTGAGCCTCAGGGGCTGGACACCTTCCCCGAGTGAGAAGCGGCCAGAAAAAAATGGAGCTTCAGTGTGCCCTCTCCTGGGGCTCACACAGATTTACAGCCTGAAGTCAGCATTTTTCTCTGACCTTTGCCTAGTCAGTGTCAGACGGATGTTTTAAGGGACTACAGAAGCGGGGAAATTTAGGAGAGACACGCCACCCAGTGGCCAGTCCTGCAGCTGCTCAGCTGAGAGCTGAGCAGAGCACGCAGGGCAGGACGACACTGCAGTGAGCTCTCTCTCCTTCAGGCTTGTGTGCCCATGAGCACCAGGTGTATAAAGCAGGGGCTCGATGAGATGTGGATGCAAATCCCCTCCTTGGGCAAGGTGGCCCATCTCTCTGGGCTGCCATCTCATCTATAACATGGAGAGTACTGGTACCCACCCGTGGAGTTCATGAGAAATGTAAGTGAATACAGCCTGTCAGAGCTCAAGCAAAGGAGCTACTTCTATTGTTATTATTCAGGAAGCAGCTACTCAAGCATGGCTGGGGCCAAAACACTGCAGTCTCCAGATAGATATGCAGGCAGAGGTCAAACTGGATCTCCATGCCCATGGGCCTCTGCTCCCACACTGACAGCTGGCTTCTCTACTCCAAGGCCCACCCGTCATCTCTCAGTGCCCCAGTCATCTTCAAGCATGGGCTGCAAGCAGCAATGGAGCAGGCACACCCAGAGGTGTCGCTGAAGCCTCCGTTCAATTCAGGCACTTTCTGAATCTCTTTCCCCTCAGACTGGCTGCAAACAGCCCCAACAGAGGCCACACTCCAAAGCAGCTTTGTGTACAGCTGAGAGATGCGAGTAGCTTACAGGAAACCATTGCCCTGGGAGGGTTTCCTTACAGTGGACTGGACTGGACCAAACCAAATTTCTCATCTCCTGAGGTATGCTAGGAGAACATGCTGGGATAGGAGGATGGCACACAGAATTGCTCTAGGGTTTTCCTCTTGAGTGCCCAGCTGTCTGCTTCAGGCCTCAGTACTGTAGGGAATAGGAGCTCTCAGGTCTCTGAGAAAAGGCCTCTGTTACCACAGAAGGCTCATTCTGCAGACCAACAAGAGGCGCTGAAGACTCTCACGGCTTAGGCTACAATATCCTTCATAGGGTCCTCTCAGTGTACTCACAAGGGTACTTGACCAAGCCAAGTGGGCCAGGAGGGTGAGGACTTGTGCAGTGGGAAAGGAGGACAGATGCAGCAAGTTCCTGAGGCACACAGTGGCCCAAGGGTAGTCATATATCAGGCTGGTGGTGGCTGAATCAGCGGTCAGCTGAAGGAAATCAGTGCCTGCATCTGACTCAGCAGCGGCCACCTAGGTTTATGCAGAACAGCACTGGCAGTGGATCTGGAACCAGAGGGGGTGTAGTGAGGAGGAAGCAGCCCAATCCTCCCTAGAAAGGAGGACTGTGGTAGACAAGGAGTGTGGACTTTGCAGAGGACCTCACCCAACCAGAATGCCTCTCGCCAGGAGACCCACAGCAAGTCACTTGAGCCCCTGCACCTCATAATGGCAGGTACAGCATGTGCCACCTTGCAGAGTAGGGAAGATAATTAAATGCTGAATAGACAGTAGGTCCTCATACGCAGGAGCTCTACTCCATGGAGCAAACACCTTCCTGGGAAGCTACAAAGGAATATGGCAGGCAGGGCTAGGGCAAGAGACCTGGTCACACTGGTTGGGAGGACAGGATTTTCAGGAAAACATTCTCTTCACAGTGGTGTTCCAGTGGTTCTGTTTTCCGGGTGACCATAGCAAGGAGTGAGAAATCACACTCCAGGACTTGAATGAGGTAGAAGATTCAAGCAGGCAGGTGGAGCGAATAATGAATCAGTGTTGGTACCTCTGGCCTGTGTCCCACCCACACCCTCTGGGGTGTTCCTAGTAGTACAGGGAGGGCGCAGGGTATGACTGACTAGAGGGCAGCAGCCACGACAGACTGCGAAGACTGAGGGCCCGGGTACACAGTCAGCCCCTGCAGGGAGGGGCTGGCACAGCACGTGGTTTTCAGGCACATCCACTATCACAACTGGAACGCAGAGATGAGGGGAGCCGTGACCATGCTCACCTTGGCCAACACTGCCACAAACTTTTTCAGGGCCACCAGGCGCTGCCCTTCCAGGACCGAGAACTTGCCCACTTCTACCCGTAGTATGTAGTGTAGTGCAGATTCCAGGTCAGCCATGTAGATCTTGGAGCTGAGAAACCAGCGGAAGGCAGAGGAAAAGGGAGCATTAGCACTCAGCACTAAAGGGACAGAAAAGGAACGGCACTGCTGATGGCACAGAGTTCTATAAGTTAGCACTGGCTCTGCTGGTAATTCACCAAGTGACCTTGAGTGAATAGCTTAACGTCTTTGAGTTTCAATTCCTATAAAACAGGAATAACAACACCTTGCTCATAGGTAGGCTACTCAGAGGATAAAACAAAAGTGTACATTGTGGCAAAAATGAGGAGTTTCTCCTCTCTAGTCCCATAGCCAGCCCTTCCTGTGACTCACTAATCAGGCCCTTAGTGAGGCTGAGCTTCATTCTTTGTTCTGAGCAAAGTCCCCCAGGGAAACACAAACAGACCAACAGTGCACAGAAATGGTTCTGGAAAAGCTTCTGTGAAAGAGGAGTAGCTGCCCACCAAGGCAGGGGCTGGAACAGTGGAGGGGAAGAGTGGGCAGCACATTTTGTGTTTCTTTCTAGGCTGATGTGGTCTTCGCAGCTGCCAGACCTGAGTGCATCACACCCTGGGGAGAGGCTGGGGTATCCAGCCGGCTACACTATCCCATGCCCACCATGCTCCCTTGGGGCTTGGCTCAGGGCTCATGGGAAGGGCCCTGGAGAGCTGGCTGCTCTCCACCTACCTCCCGCACCCTGGTTCTGGCCTGAGCTTGAGGGTGAGCCAGTTTTGTGAACTTGGGCAACTCAATCTACCTTACTAGGCCTCAGCTACCTCACCTATAAAATAAATGACTTATTCTACCAAGTCTGCCTCTCGAAGGTACAGAGAACCTGCAAGGATAACAACAGGGTAAGCACAGTCTTTATCTATGCTTTACCCTCCAGGCAGTGTCCCCTCTCTGCAAGTCCACGCTGATGTCCTCAGGCCTCAGTTTATCTCTCCATTCTCATGTGCCTCTTCCAGAAGTAGCCTGATGACCACATGACATAATATAGGGAAGGTGGCTTAAGTGCTATGGGCACTGACTGGACAGTATTCCTTCCATCACAAAGGATAACATGATGTACTATTCAGTACTCTCCACATTCAGCACTGGGGCCCTGGCAGCAGATACCTGAGAAGCTGCCAATTAACTGCTGCACTCCCTGTCGCAGCCTAGCAGTCGCAGGCACCCAAAGGTCAAGATGAGCCCTGGGGTCAGGTGGGAATCTACACTCAAAATAGCAGGTGCTATAGACACAACAGGAACAGGATGAAGACGACAGTGTGAATAAAGGAGGTGTGGTCTGTGATGGGCGGGAGTATGACGGGGACTGGGTGCGGCCTTACTGATCTGCAAATTTCCACACAGTCGGCGCTATCTTGTCAGGAGTGGTTGGTACAGCTGTAGGCGGGGTAGTCTCCCTGGTGATCCCAGAGAGCCTCTGCAGGTAGGCAGTGTAGAAGGACCTGGACTCTTTCAGCCTGTGAGGGATGAGAGCACAGCAGAAGCAGTAGGTACAAAGGACAAATCCCGGGGCTGACCAATGTCAGCAGAGGAAGCAGGGTGGCTCCTCTGACAGAAAGGCTTAGCAAGAAATATCTGAACTTAAGTTTCTTCTCACACTTGGTGAGGTCAAAATTAGGCTACCAAGGCCTCATTCACCACTTCTATTACTCACTGCACACACTGTGGAAAACCTCTTTGATACCAGCCTATATGGCCCAACCATCTGAAAAAGCAGCAAGACCCAAAATCCTGCAACCTGTTCTGACTTCAGGCAGGACCACGGTCTGAACAAGCTGGGACAAAGTGCCTGTGGGACAGTATTGTGTTCATGAAGAGCTGGGGGGACAGCTCACTAGAATGCTTACCAACATGGGTAAGGCCTTGGGCTGGATCCCCAGCACTGCCAAAAATAATCTGCCCATGGACGGGACTAGCTGGGTTTGGCTATCTATCAGACCAAAGTTTCAAAAAGAGCTGACCACAAGGCAGCTGCTAACTCACTAGTACCAAGGAATGAAACTGGTCCCCAAGTCAAAGGAATTTGATATGTGATTTTTTAATGAAGTGGCATTAATAACAAAGAACCATCAAGATTCTCCAAACCCTTTTGATTTCTCTCTTCTGATACAGCAGAGTCCTCACAGGCAAGAAATGTCTCCTGAACACAGTCTTCGCACTCACCAGGGTCAGGCCACCTGGAGACAGAGATGCCCAGCCCAGCAGCAGTGTGGTGGGATGCCCCGGGGAGCTGGCATCAGGAAACATTGCTTTCCACTCCGCTGTCCCGGCCCAGTGTTTATCGATGAGCAGATGGCTGGGGAGTGGCATCGTCACAAACAATTTTCTCCTCCACCAACTCCAAGTGAAGAAACAATGCCTCCTCTCCCCACCAGGGCTGGCACTTTCTGGGCCTACCCAGAATCTCACCCTCCCCATGCCCTGGTGGCCAGGATGGTTCCTAACTCTGACAAGCTTGCCCCAACACAGCTAGGTGATCTGGGCCAGGGCAAGGGCAAGTGGCTAGCCTGCCCAGGCTCAGCACAGGATGGCACTAATGCCCTGAGGAGCAGTTCATTGGGCACCTCAGACAAGCTTTGATCTCCCTGGCCCTCGAGCTCTATCCGGCAGGGCCAGGCTGACATCAATCATCTGCCCATAGAGGGCACCGAGGCACCATCTGGCGCCATTTAGCAGGCCATTCAGCAGCAGGAGCTTGACAGAGGGGCTAAAGCTGGCCTGATTGTTTTCCCTCTGATTTTGGAACGGGCTATTGTTTGGCTCCTAATGAACTTTTCTGCAATTAGAAAACCAGAGGGAGGGTCAGGCATATTTGAGTCCTTGCCAGGTCTGTAGCCTGCCAGTGAGTCTGTCTGTGGACAGAGGAACATGGGGAATAGGGCCAGGGTTGGGTGTGGGTGGAATAGAGGCTATCAGGGTTGAGGCAGGACCCTGGATGGCAGAGGCTGTAGGGCCCTGTCTCCTAGAGGCTGACACCTGCCTCTCCTGCACTGATGCTCCTCCTGTTCTCAGAAGATTCTCCAAGGAGAAAGGACCTGTGTGCCAGGGCTGTGGCCACTCAGGGAAGGATGAGTACAGGGAGAGAGAAGAGAGAGGACAGGGAGATACTCCACTCACACAGGGACTCGGGAAACAGAGCCATTCCGAAACAGCAGGTAGCAAGACGGGAAGTCTGTGACACCAAACTTCCTCACCACGTTGTCCTCTGTGTTCAGGACCCTGCGCACTGCTACACCTCGGTGCTGGGACAGGTCCAGAGTTACCTGCAGAGACAGTAGGACATCAGGGGGCTAAACCGGTAGAAGGAGCCAGCAGCTGAATCCCAGCACCACCAGGTGGCAGCTATGCTCTGTCCAAACTTAAAACATTTCAAAAAGTAGACCATCAAGCTGAATGAGGCCCTCATGCCACCCACTGCAATCAATTCTTAGGTAACAAGAGCCAAAAACCACCCAAGAGGAGGGGCCTCAGAATGGTGCAGACTACACACTTCGCATTTTGTAGGGCAATCTCAAATTAATATGTTTCTTTCTAATAAAGTAAATTTATAAAAGACACAATAAAATGTAGTTTTATTTTTATTCTTATATTATAAAACTTTCTACCTATATTCCAGGTCAGAAAAATGTACTCATCAAAAATGATATTATTTTTGCATAAAAATAAGGGAAAGTACTAACTAAACATTTATTGTACATTACATACTATATATAGATGGTCTCATTTAATTTTTAGACCAACACTAAAACAGAAACTGCCATTAGGGGTTAGTACACTATGGCTGCCAGCTTGTGAATCATGGCTCTACCGAGCCAAAATTCTCCCTGACTCAATTTCCTTACTAAAAAATTATAATAATACCAATCTCTGGGAGTTGTTCAGAAGGTTACATGACTAGATATATATTTGTTTTAAAAATTCTCAACGGAAATAGTGAAATAGATCTTAAGCATATGAGAAGGCAACCAAGAGATGAAGGGAGGGGGAAAGAAGGGAGGGAAGTAAGATTTTAAAAAGGTGAGGAGTGGGGTTTTATGAAGTGCCTACAAGGAACACGATCATCATGTATTACAAACATACCAATATGTATTTAAAAATACAGGGCTAGGGATTTAGCTCAGTGGTTCTGCCACCTGCCTTGCAAGCACAAGGTCTCGAGTTTAATCCCGGGTACAAAAAAAGAGAAAAAAATGTATAAATGCATTTGTATATGAAAGGGTCCAAGAGACGCAGGGAAGAAAAAGGAGAAGGAAGGGGAATTTAAAAAAAGAATTAAGAAATGTCATATAACAACTCCCATGATAAATGTAATCATGTACCACAAACATGTACCAAAAGCAAACATAAAAACAAAAAAACTCCTGTTGTAGAGAGAGAAACCGGAGATTTAGTGTGCATCATATCTCCAGAGCAGCCAGTATGCAATTTGAACCCGAGTGTGCCTCTTAGGCCCTCTTCCCTGCTGAGCTGTTCAACTAACCCTCCCCCAAGCACCTCTGCATGGACATGGGACCTGCTCTGATTATCAGGGGACTGCGGAGGAGGGAGAAGAGCCAATTCCAATCAGATTTATCAATCACCTCTGTATGACAAGGCCTGACCCAGGCATGGACAGGGACCCCAGAAGGTCAGGAACTCCTTCAGTAAAGCTGCTTGCACCCCTCCCCCACTTTTGATTTTCCTGAAGAGTTGAGAGGTCCGAAGATGTTCCTGGTTTTAGCTCCAAACCACCAGCAACTATGCTGGATGTGTTTCAGCAGGAAAACCACTTCTGGTCCACAGTGGGCCTCTCAGGTCTCATATCCTTACTGAGCCCCAGAACATCACTCAAATACCCCGCCCCATGAACTGGCACATCCCACTGTGCATCTGGGAAAAGTGCTCAAGCAGTCTGTGGGGAAGTCCCTGATCCAGCAGCTTAGTGGGCACTTGGCGTTAAGCTAGGAGATAATCTCTATAAAGCATCTATTACGTGCCAGCTACTAATCTAGGCCCTTTCCTTAAAGTGCCTCACCAGACTTTCCCAGTACTACTATAAAGAAATATAACTATTCTTTCTCTATAGACAGGGAAGAGGCTCAGAAAAATAGAGCAATTTGACCAAAGATATAATATGTAAGTAATGGAGTGGAAATTCAACTGGCAGTACTTGGTAAGGGACCCTTCCTGATGAGAAACAGAATTGTCTCTAATGTTCCCACCTCCCCTAATGTTGTACTCCAATTCTGTGTGGATGGTGTACTGTGGAAACAGCATTGGCTTTAAAGTCAGACAGCCCTGGCTCAAAACCCTATTTTATTTTATTAGCTGTATGATCTTGGATACTTTATTTGGTAGTCTTTGTTAAGTGTGGGGCAAGCAGATAAGTGTCAGCAACTGAGTCCTATACTCAATAAACAGGTGTTTTGACTGGCATTAGGGAGAAAAGGGCAGCACAGAGGTTTTAAATGGAAAGGCCCAGCCCCTACACATCTCTCCTAGCAGGGGTCAGGCAGTACCTAACTAAGAAACACACAGGGACAAGACACTACCACTGGCAGGAAAAGCCCTCTGCTGAATGGAGGCTCCCTCCCAATGTGTTGCAGGGAAACCTGAGGCAGCTCACCTCTCTACCCAGGTAGGAGCCTTCATGTTCAAAGATCAGGGCCAGGTACTCTTCGTTGTTTCTTGCGAAGAATCCATCAATCTCCTCCAGCCTATTAAGAGACAACTCTGGTGGTCACTCAACACCCAGTAGGAATGAAGCAAAACTCCAGTGGTGGGTCACCTTGTACCTCTGTGATCTTCCCTGCCAGTCCTCCGGGGGAGAGGAAACCAAACCTTTAGTCTCAAAGGATGCTGCCTGGGTCACCTGATGACCCACCTTGGCTATTTTTATTTTTCTTTCTGTCTTTTAGGAATCAGGACTGGGCAGAAGGCAGGCTGGAAGAACTGTAGGGAGGCTTTGAGACCAGCTGCCTCCATATGGCTCACACTACTGACAATTAACCTATCAGATACAAGTCTAGATCTGCAGCAAGTCAGGACCAATTGGGAAGGCTGTGTTTTCCTCTCAGGAGGAGGAACAAAAAGGGAACCAAAGGGCTAGGGGTAGAGCTCAGTGTAAAGCACCCACCTAACACAAACCAGACCCTGGGTTTGAGCCTTACTGGAGGGAGCTGGGGAAAGAAAAGCAGAGAGAGAAAAGACAGAACCAGAGAACCAGAGTCCTGTGTACAAGAGACCTCAGAAGCTAACTAACTAACCCAACCTCCTTAGTTTACAAAAACTGAGGCCCAGTTTTCTCAGGTGGAAATGATTAAAGCAGCAAATGTTATTACCCCAATCAGAGAATTAAGCTGCAAACTGTTTTAAGGACTCAAAAGTTTCAACAGAAAATACAAAATGACTCTTATTCCAATGAAAAAGAGAACACACATATGCTTGAGAAGCCAGCCAGTGAGAAGGCACAGTGAAAAAGGAGACCACACATTTGTCAATACTGAGGATCAAACCCATTTTAATTTTTGACACAAGGCCTCACCAAAATACCTAGCTGACCTCCAATCTTTGATCTCCTGAGTACCTGGGATTACAAGTATGTGCCAGGATGCGTAGCAAATATCTTTTTTTTTTTTTTTGGTACAGGGAATCGAACTCAGGACCTTGTATTTGCCAGGTAGGCACAGTGCCACTGAGCTAAACCCCCAGCCCATCTTACATCTTTTTATTCTCAACTTGGTACCTCACTTCCCTTTGCTGGATACAAAACATGGCAGTGACCAACCCCAAAAAGAAGACATAACATGAGGTGGTTACTGGATCCCAGCCCGCAACAGTATGAATGGATATGCTAGAGAGGAGGAGGTCAAAGTACAAGGTCAGAGTGCACCCACTCAGTGGACTGAAAGAGGTGTTGTGATACTGCCAGCCTCTGGAGTGGCATCCTATGCTGGACTCTCACTTCCCCAGAGGGCCTTCAAGCACATGCTCCTGTCCTGTACACCTTCCCAGCCCTGGACCTTCATTGTGTTTGAGGCTGGGCTCCGTCAGCAGTCCCTACTGGTACATGGATTTGTTCCTTCTTGGCAATAGTCCCTGCCATGGTGGGCTTGGGTTCTCACTCAGAAACAGGGGCTCCAGTGTTTGTAATGCGGCTGTCTGCTCCTTGACAGAGGTTGTACAAGACACCACATGCCTCACTGCCCTCACTTTCCTAGAAAAGAGGCAACCAGGAAGCTGGTCTGGCAGGTGTGCACAAGAAACCAGCCAGTGCACCTGATGTTCTGTAGCACAGAACAGCCACTGTTCAGAAAAATGACCGTTTTCAGTTTACAGAGACAAGGCTTTACTCTTTGGGGTTCCTTCCCTTTTCCTCCACTGGTATTCAATCTTCTTGGTCCTCTTCATACTTATTCTGTCAGTGGCCTTTCCTGGGTTAGATCATGTGAAATCCTGCTGTACTTCAAATATTCCTAAGGAAAGGTGGGAGAAGCTACAGCAGGTATGATGTGGAGAACCCCATCTGTCTTTTCCTTCCCATGTGGCAGAACGGGCTCTTAGAGGGCAGGACTCTTCAGCAGCACTTGCAGCGAGAGGAATCTGCCACAAGCTGCTCCAAAGTGTTGCTGGCAGACTGGAGTGTCTGCCCCAAGCAAGGCAAAGGCAAAAGGAAGAATCAACATGGGTCCCCTGCCCCGAAGTTTCCACCAGCCTCTCATTCCTGGACCCTGACCTATGCTGCACTAAGCCTGCCCCAGCCCAAAATACTTGGCAGGTTCCAGTGGTGGACAGGCCGGGGGCCATGTGTCATGGTGGGACTCCAGGGCATCAATGAGTCTCTCCCGCAGCGTCTGCACATTAGCACCAGCCACTGTGAACAAAAACAGGCATAGGGATGGGGTCAGGAGAGAAGGGAAGACTTCAGGCCCTTGTGAACTTTATTCACAACAAGGGCCCAGAGCACAAGCCAGGCCTTATCTGTCTTAAGAGGATAAGGTGGAGGGCTTCTCCTGTGGCTCAAAGCAAAGCAAGGAGACCCATCCTCCAGAAGGAAAAAGAGTGCTTCAGAAACGGCTCATAAGGGCTCGGCCCAGGGACGGTCTGGTCTGTCCTGACACCAATCCCATTTTGACATTAAGACCATCCTGGGAACATGGTGTTCCTGCCACCCACCCCCAGGACCCTGAGTGGGTCACAACTGAAGGGCTTGTCAGCCTGCCTTTCCTAAGGCATCTGACTGGGAGGACACTTTTAGGAAATGTGTTAGGCTTCACTTGGGGGCCTCCTCACCCTTGCAAAGAGGTCTCTCTCAACACTGCATTAGAAACCACAGTAAAAGAGGGCAGCAGCAAAAGGAAGACACTGACAATGCCAAAAGGATGGCCAGAGCCAGGAAACCTACCTGGCAATGTTGTTCCTAAGCCATTCTTGGAAAAGGCCTTAAAGAACTGCAAGCAAAAATAGGCAAGAGTCAGCAATACACACTGGGTAAGGGAAGAATGATGGTGTCAGACAGACCTGCATTTCAAGTCCAGCTGCTTATTAACCGGGGTGACTTTGGGTAAACTATTTAACTTTTTGAATCCTCCATTTTATCTTTAAAATTGAGACCAGGGAGGTTTAGCTCTTGTGGCTGGACATTGATTCCTTCCCCATTATCCTCACCCACAAAACCTGGAGACAGCAGCTCATAGACTTCACTGGAGACAGACTCTTTCCATAAAGTATTAGAGTCGGGAGCAATTCTACATAATTTGGGGGGAAAATCACTTCATTAGGCCTAGTTCTCCTGCCTATAGACCAGCTATGGCATTTTGAGACATGACTCCATTTTGGCTTCCAGTAACAGCTAAGACCTCAATGGTCTGGTGATGCTGTGATGCTCCAGGACGAGATTACACCAGCTGAAAACATCCTGGGAGGAACAAAGTCTTCATCTACATAGTTCCTCATTGTTCTATGATTTCTGACACTGCTCCCCCCACCCCCGAGTCATTTGTTATATTTGTTTCTCTTGATGTTCTGAAGTCTCTGTCCCAGTCATTTGTTACATTTGTGTCTCCTGAGGTACTGAATAAAGGTTGGGGGCTTTCATCTTTGCTGCCCAGAGCAGCACTGATCAGGCCCAAAGCTCAGCTTCTTCTCAAAGTCTCAGGTTTTCTACCTTACCTGTATAATAAGTTAATTTACTGTGTGCTGTCATAGCTCGCAGGAGATTAGCACTTACTGCAGAGGTTCTAGTAACGTGTCTCCTTTCTCTGTACCCTACACACTAGCACCTAGCACATAATCACTGAAAACCACTGCACAAATCAAAGGCGAAGAACCATTGCTGTTTTCCCTTGAAGACCCATTTTGAACAAATAAAACGAAGTCACTTTATACGTCCCTTGGAAAATGTCATCTTTCCTTTGTGTCAGTTGTCCTTCTGTCTTTTCTTGGAAAAGGGGGCACTGAAGCTGGAGTGTCTACAACCAGGCACACTACTCAACAAAGGGTGGGGGATCCAGCACAGATCCCACTGAAGAGAAGGCCTAAGTCCCCAGAGAAACAGGCCTCTACCAGACAGACTAGTGTGATTCATTGCTTTGTCTTATTTTCCACATACATGACATCCCAGGCCTAATCTGTCACTTCCTTTAGGTGAGAAGACAGAGATCACAGGATGACTCCTTATAATCTGGGTTTCTGCTTTAGTGGCTAGAAAGCTGACAAAGGTCTTGCCTCTCCCCTCCTGTTCAGGAGGAAACAGAGTTGGTTGTCCTGAAAGAAAGCTACTTACCTGCCTGGGAAAGAGCCCACAGCTGGGAACAGACTTCTTCTTAAGGGTCCAAGATCTGGCTCTGCCAGTCTCTTACTGTACGACTTTAAGCAATCCATCAACCTCTCTGAATTCCAGTATTCTCGTCTTTAAAATGAGGATGACACCGTCTACTTGAATTGTTGTGAGGGCTCAATGATAACCTTCTAAAGTGCTTATAAGGCACAATACTTGGTGCACACAGCAAGGAATCAATAAATGCTAACTGCATCACCACCATCACCATCCTCTTCCTTCCTGCCTACTATTTAAACACTGATCAGCTAACACTTGTGGATTCTAGCCAAGTGTAGGCAGAAAGCTAAAATCCAGAGACTATCTGTGCCCCTCATAAACAAGAGGAACAGACTGCAGATAAACTACCCATCTCCCGTCTGTAAACTTCTCCTGTTCCCTCGACTGAACTTACTGAACTCTTACTCCTGCTCACTGTTTTATTCTCTTTTAAAACACAAATATGCTCTTTTACCGAAGAGTGAAAACAATCTATTCACACATGCCACACATATTTATAACAGTGTTCTTTACAGTTATTAAATCTTGACCTAGTAAATTTATAAGTTATTCTAATACTTACACAAATGTTCACAAATTTCCCAAATTGTGACATGATATCATATGTTAAGCTATTTATGGACAGATACTGCTTCTTAAAACAAAATTTAAAATTCAACTATTTGGGGTTTTGTTTGTTCACAAATAATATGTGAGAGGGTGACTTCAACTACAGTAACTCACAGTGATAGTATCCTTGTTTATGTACAGATAGGACAGACTGTGTCTGACTTCCTAGGCAGAAGAACACCTCTGACATCACGGACCCTTGAACTGTATGGCTTTCCCATAGCCACAGCTGTCACCTTCAGTTCTGGAGAGTAACATGATGCCTTTTCTTTGTCAGCCATCACCTCACCCAAATCTGAGCGGGTACCTATCTTGCAAGGGGCTGGCATTCCCTCCTTCAAAAGGCATCTCCCAGTCGGGGATTTAGCTCAATGGTTCCGCCGCCTGCCTCACAAGCACAAGGTCCCGAGTTTGATCCCTGGTACAAATAAAAAGAGACACCTCTCTGAGCCCTAGCTGAGCCTCAAAGACCCAGGCATAGGACCTTAGAGTTGGGACCAAGAATAACTCAGGAGACTCCACAAGGGATACTCCACAAGTCTCCAAGGACTCTACAAGGAATACTCCCATGAGGTGCAGGGCTAAGGGTAGGCTCTGCTTTCACTCCCAGTGGCCTCTGTGTGGTTGGTCACTCAGCCTTTCCTCTGTCCGTAGAAGTTTAAGCCATCTACCTACCAACCAGTGTCACCACCTGAGCTCTGGCTCCCACACCTCATGCTTTTTTGGGGAACTTCCCTATCAATTAGTCTCTTTGTCACCATTCCTTTTTTTTTTTTTTTTTTTTT